TTCTGTAAGCCATCACTACCATCTCTGCACAGGGAGGACGACTCACTGGCCCAAGACGCAAAAGACAAAGCCGACCTTTTAGGATCCCTTTTTGCGTCCAACTCGACTCTTGATGACGGGGGGAAAATACCGCCGACCATCCCGCGGTGTGAGTGCTCCATGCCGCTCAGTTCGCAAAGCACTTCTCTCCCTGGACATCCAGAAGTCGAGTGGGCCTGACGGAATCCCCCCAATTGTGCTGAAGACGTGTGCTCCGGAGTTGGCACCGGTCCTAACGCGTCTTTTCCGGTACTCCTACTCCCAAGGCGTAGTCCCGAATTCATGGAAGACAGCTTTTGTCCACCCGATCCCTAAAAAAGGCGACCGCTCAGACCCGTCCAACTATAGGCCTATCGCGATCACCTCCTTGTTCTCCAAAATAATGGAATCCATTATTAACTGCCAGCTCATCCGGTACCTTGAGGATCACCAGCTGATTAGTGACCGCCAATACGATTTTCGTCGGGGTCGATCAGCTGGTGATCTTCTGGTCTACCTGACCCATAGATGGGCGGAGGCAGTAGAGTCCAAGGGGGAGGCGTTGGCTGTTAGTCTGGACATTACGAAGGCCTTCGATCGGGTTTGGCACAAAGCGCTTCTTTCGAAGCTCCCTTCCTATGGGCTTCCCGAGAAATTGTGCAATTGGATCACCAGCTTCCTTGCAGATCGGAGCATCAAGGTCGTTGTAGACGTGCATGTTCTGACTACAAGCCTATTAACGCTGGTGTTCCACAAGGCTGTGTGCTATCACCAACGCTGTTTCTTCTGCATATCAATGATATGTTGCTAACTGGTAACATTCATTGCTATGCGGATGACAGCACTGGTGATGCTCTATATACCGGCCGGACCAATATTTCTCGGAAAAACGTCGCCGAGTACTGGAACAAACTTGTGTCTGAAGTCGAGTCTTTGCTGGACAAAGTCTCGGATTGGGGGCGACTAAATCTAGTCCAGTTTAATCCTCAGAAGACACAAGTTTGCGCGTTTACCGCTAAAAAGAACCCTTTTGTCGTATCTCCTCAGTTTCAAGGCACTCCCCTTCTTGCTTCAGCCAGTATCGGTATCCTCAGAGTCGACATATCGAGTGACGTGCAGTTTCGTGGTCACTTGGAAGAGAAGGCCAAATTGGCCTCTAAAAAGCTTGGCGTGCTCAGCAGAGCGGGACAGTATTTCATGCCGGCACACCGCCTGCAACTTTACAAGACGCAGGTTCGGCCTCACATGGAATACTGTTCCCATCTCTGGGCAGGGGCTCCCCAGTACCAGCTCCTTCCACTTGACCGCATCCAGCGCAGAGCGGCTCGAATCGTCGACGACCGAGCCCTTTCCGATCGGCTCGATTCATTGGCACTGCGAAGAGATGTTGCATCTCTTTGCATTTTCTTTCGCATCTACCATGGGGAGTGCTCTGAGGAATTGTTCGGATTAATCCCAGCCGCCAAATTTCATGAACGCACATCGCGCAGAACTCCCGATACCATCCACACCATCTGGATGATTGGCGGTCCACCACTGTGCGATTTAGAAGATGTTTTCTTCCTCGCACGACTTCCTTGTGGAATCGATTACCATCAGCGATTTTTCCGGACCGATACGACTTAGGGACCTTCAAGAAAAGAGCGTACTCCTTTTTAAAAGGCCGGCAACGCATCTGCAATTCCCCTGGTGTTGCGGTTGTTCATGGGTGGCGGTAGTCACTTACCATCAGGTGAGCCGCATGCTCGTTTGCCCCCTCTCCTATAAAAAAAAAGTCTTCTAGACACTGAAAACGGTTTTGAAACTCGAGCTGAAAGGTTTCCGGACTTTGGACTAGAACACGAGGGGGACGGAGTGTTGACTTCATTAGACGAAACCTCACAAGCTCAACGTTTAGGTTCAGTGTACCTCTAACCAATCGGTGATCGCTACCAGTTTTCATCCTCGCGATCACTGAGACATCACTGAACAGTTGTTTTCTGATCATCATAATGAAGTCAATCTCATTTTTTATCGAATCGTCGGGGCTCGGCCAGGTCCAGGTACCTGTGGGGCTGCTTCTGGAAGAAAGAGTTCATTATAAAGAGTCCCCCTTTCTCTATGAAGTCGGCGAGCTGCTGGCCCATTGGGTTCCGTTGCCCTTTTCCAAATTTCCCTGCCTGCAGATCACCGTTCTCTCTTGTGCCTAGTTTGGCATTAATGTCTCCCATTAACACCGTATAGTGGGTTTTGGAGCAATGCATGGCTCTAGATATATCCTCATATATTTCGTCCACCTCCTCATCGGGATATGCCGAGGTTGGTGCGTAAACCTGTATGACCTTCAACGAATACCGATTCTGAGTATAAGGTACGCAACCCTCGTTGACACACTCATAATCTCTACAACGTTGTTCACGAGAGACATGTGGACGATAAATTCGACACCTCGTTGGGACAGATGGTTGCTCTCCCGGTGATAGAACAAATTGCTGGATTTGAGGATTGCCGTGTCCTCCTCCTCCTCTCTTCAGACCTCGGATAATCCTTTAATATGCCAGCGTAACTTGTCTATCTCTACTTACAGCTCCACAATCTTCTCGTCAGTCCTCAGGGTGCGTGCATTGTATGTTGCCATGTCGAGTAGTCTTAGGTGGCAACCGAAACTCCACCGTAGATTCTTAGCATTCTCTGCCGCGCTGTCACCATGATCGCCACCGTAGCCAGGAATAACGGCACCACCGGGGACATTTGCCATAGCTGCCACGCTTGGCGAGCGGGTTGGCAACCGCAGTTTTTATTGTAAAATTGCTGTTATCAGGAAGATGCTGCTGCCGATCTCCTGCCTGTTTCCCACTGTCGCCTCTTACGACACCCACGGGAAGATATCGGGTAGTGGATATTCTTAACCGCCACTACACGGCAACAATATAAACGATATAACGATTATAATTTGATTTAATAATTATTATTACAAACATTATTCCTTGAGATTGTTTTTTCTTTGGTAGCTCTATAAATTAAATTTGTAACCCCTAACATACACACCGTGTAGTAAGAGAAATCGCGATAAGAGAATCGATAGACAGCGGGAAATTGAGCCAGGGGAGGGGCAGCAGCATTTTCCAGAAAATAACCTTTAAATAATAAAGAAAGCTGACAAATGGTAACTGTGGCAGATGTCCATCCTATGTGGTAATTATGGGAAGGCCTATATTGCAGTGCCATAGTAGCCACGCTTGACAGGCTTATTGGCAACCACTTCGTCGCCTCTTATGACACTTTTTTTATAGGATAGGGTGACAAACGAGCACACAGTCCACCTGATGGTAAGTAGTTGCTGTGGCTCATAGACATCTACATTTACCCTCGTTTGCGAATCAAAACGCAGATGCGTTGTCACCCGTGAGGACTAAGATGGGATGCCTCTTTTCCAGTAAAATGGGTCTCCGGTTCTCTACACTAACCACACGAAACACAGCAGTGTTAAGCTGCTATTTTACGCTGGTATTCTGTGAAAGCGTGGTCTTTAGCCGATCGAGCCGACCCATTCGTGCTACAACTATACTATTATAATAGCTGCAGCATGGCTCTACCACGTAAAAAATCGGGTTACACCTTCCGACTTACATCTCCAACTACACGTTCAAAATAAGCGTTCAAAATTTAAAAATAAAACTGTAAAAATACGTAAAATAACAAAATATTATAAGTAATAAGCAATATATTATGATCAAATCACTCTAAGTATCAAAGATCAAAATAAATAGAAAATTTTAATGTAATGAATAAAGTTCAGAAGACGTTTGAACTAAAGTTCAACTACATAATATTTGCGGTCAACAGACTGTTCACACCTTTAACGAAGTTTGCTCATTATGATTTTAGTTTTAAATTTAATTGTTTGATTTCATTATTTAAGGTCAGTTGCATTATTTATCAACGAAGGTTAAATGTCAAAAAGCAAATTCTCAGCTTGTAAAAAGCATGCATTATCAATACGGCTACGATTCTGCTACGACCGTGCTACACAATTGCTACGAATGTTTATACTCAATAACGGCAGTTTATTCTCGTTTTCCTATCTTTATTTTCTATAATTTGCCTTTCATTATCTCGTTCCAAATTACTTTCCTATAAAATTAAATCAAATCTTATTAGATTTTTCGCCATAGCTATAGGTTTATTTTTATTTAGCAAAAATAGCAATAGCAATAATTCATTTTATTGCTTAAATTAAGTGCTTTTTTTACAAAAAGTAATTGAATTTTGTGTTTAATTGGTATTTTACTTACTTTAATTTGTAGATACAAAGCGTTTGATGTTTTGCAGATGATAGACTTGTTATAATAGGTAGCATAAAGAGCTCTTCAATTCCTTTGTTGCTACAAAATCTGAGTAAATCATGACCTTAATATTTTATATTATTAAATATTCGTCTTTCGTTAGTTTCAAAGCGTGTAAACTTTTACACTAAGTTGCAATAAATTACGCTCGTTAGTTTTGCTTACTTTTTATATGCAACTTACAAGTTACGTATAAAAAAGCTAAATAACATAGATATTATAGTTCAGTTTTGAACATATTCGGACATGGGTTCGAATTCCCGGTTGGACCGAAACTAATTGTCGGGTTTTTCTGTCAGGAAATTCTCATACATTATTGGTATTCATAATGATTTCTAATATTTACTCGAACACTACACATTGAATAAAACTATTTTTACTGATTGTAACGCGTTTAATTTACTTATTTTAATTCCCGGTGCTTTACAGAAAACCCATGGTCACGGGGGGGGGGGGGGCTGAGATGTTTAACATCCCAATGTCACAGTTAGCCCTGCTACCTTCAGTTTTTTCGATCTACGCATATAAACGCGATAAAGTCCGTAAAAATAGTTTTATTCAATTATTGGCATTTATGTTTCTTTTTAAAATTGAACCTGATGGGATTCAAACATAGGATAGAAAACGGTGTAATCAGTTCATTTTAGTCATACTTACATGTTGCGGTAGCTATTGCGGAAATAAGTATGCACATTGAGAGGGCGATTTTTGCTGTCCGCTGCATAGTGCCTGATAAAAGAAAATATACTCGTAAATAAATATTATTTCATTAATAACGATTTGAAAAGATTATTTGTTGTATAAACACATTAAGATATGTAATATAAAATATAAGTATGTAATGCAAGTAGTGTCCGGGGAAAAACTTTTAGTTGTATGAAGCATAAACTTTAGTAAAGGCCTCCTCTCGTTTCTAAGACGGTTTTAGGGCAAGGAAATGTCCATCGCGCTACCCCAAGCGTATTGACAGACTTCACTTTTTGAAATAATATATTTTTATGTTAATATAGTTTCCTTCACGGCCGAACACATGGTAAATCAGCACATAAAACTGCAATCAACAATTTTATTGACGTCGACGGTGATCAGCCCCCGGGTTGTTTGTGTACTGTGATATTCTACCACTACGACTACTACTACGGTGACTGTGATATGTGACCGCTAAGCCCCAAAAACTATCACGTCTCTTATCAAGCATATTATTCAATAAATGTAAAAAAGTTTAAAGTAGTAGCAACAATTTAAACTAGGTAAAAAAAATAAAAACCATAATTAGAAATTGCATTTATCATAGAATTTACATTATTTATATTAATGCAGATTCTATGGATGTTTATTGCAATGTAACGATTCTAAATGATAATATTGGTTATATTAAAGTTAAAAGCGGTCATTTCTGAGAGGTTTTTAGGGCAAGGAAATGTTTGCCTCGCAGACCCAATGAGTGTTGACGAACTTCACATGTCTTCGAAATATTTTTTTCTTATTTCCAGACATTCAGGTTTCCTCGCGATGGTTTCCTTCATCGCCGAGCACATGGTAAATCAGCACTTAAAATTAAATAAACAATTTTATTGGTGCCGGCGGGGATCTAACCTAGGTTGCTCTCGTACTGTAAAATTTATTGTTAGCGCTATATTGCTATGGTTATACTGCTTTGCACTAAATGTATTACAACAAAACTGTTAATTTCCTATGTCGTCTTAACTATCATTGTTTTAAAATCAATTTCAGGTCAGTGAACATGAGTTAACGCATTTACTTTATGTTAAACGACTCGGTTTCAAAGATGCTATTGTTATCTCAAATTACTTTATTGAAGTTTATATTGTGTTTTAGAACGAAACATACAACATAACGGCTTTAATTTAAAATAAATACGTGTATCCAACTCGTCTGATTAGCTTGCTGAGAAACTGCTAAATGTATCTTCTCAAAATTAACTTATTTGAACTTTTAAATAAATAAACTATGCTTGCATGTAAAAATGTTGGAATTTTGGTACTTCTGATGTTAGTTATTTATGATCAAACTTGCGTTAAAAGTAGCGTTAAAATACAAATGTTTCCAGGCTTCTAACATTCAAATCAATGAATTTTCACTTTTCTATTTATGTACAAGCTTAGATAAAGACAAAACAAGTTGATATCATTTGGTGAAATTATCACCCTCCTACGTTAGTATGGTAAAATGACTGACTAATTATAATATGATAACTCTATTCAGTGTACTTTAAGGGGTGTGTAGAACAAACAAGTAAGAGAATCCGTCACCTCAATGAGTCCCGAGGTTACTGTAATATGCGTCTATTTTACTAGATGATTTATCTTTGTAGGTGCCATCCTCTTACCTATTTCTTCCGGTTCTAAGTTCCGGTCTAAAGATTAAATAAAGCTGGTGTAATTACAAGCCGTAAGGTATACCATCTCAGTCTTCAGAGATGACAACGTATTTGTTGCCTTCTTTGTTTGAAGTTAATACATGGGCCACATTAGCCGCTTACCATCAGGTGGGCTGTATAAGTTCCTTTGTCACTTCAGTTTTATAAAAAAAAAAACTAACGATCCGCCCCGGCTTCGCACGAATGATTTCTGGGTCTCGACAACAGCGCCACCTACCGAGTCAAATTGTGAATCTAAACCACACACAAAATTTCATCAGTCGATCCAGTCGTTTAGGACGAGTTCAGTTACATACACACAGACAGAAGAATTATTTATATAAGGATGGCATTTATTATTAATATGTCATTGTATAATGGTATGGAAATTACTAATATTGTATAAACACATAGATTACTTGCAGAAGCGGGCCATAAGACCAATCTATGGTTTAAAACCTAAAGAGTATCTAAGGCAAAAATTTAAGGACATAATTGAATTAATTACTTTGACTTCTCTATAAATCACGATAACGTAAAGTATGTACACAAACATATAAGTAATTTAAAAAAAGGTATATTGAAGCTATAAATACCAGGAACAAACACAAGCTAATAGTACCAGTTACGAGTATTCACAGAGTCATGTTGTTGTGATACGCTTGTACAACAAAATCACATGAGTAAATACACGGAAACAAAATCCCAGAAAATATACAAACTTTATCCTCCGCCAACATTATTAAACAAAGATTTTTTAGAAAGTATTATTATAATATTAAGGAATAAAAAAGTTTCTTTTTCAATTTTTATTTCAAAAACAAAACAATGTGTCTCAAACGATAGGCAACATCGATGTGCGTACTCAACTAGCATTACTAACAAGCGACGTGCGTTATTGGTGCTATCGTTTTCGTTCAGAAAATTTCGACCTCACAAATGTAGGTGACATAATATTAAATCATAATATTTTGGAGACATTCTTTTACTTTTTCCGAACTTTTGATAGGCAAAAATTCAATGCCGAAAATGTAGTAAAGATCGCCTTTACATAGTTTATTGATACTCGTGTAGCAGACTTGGGCGTAAATAAATTGCAATAAAATGGTTGAATACGACAAATGAAAATCTAAATGAAAAATTGTTTATTTCTTTAGAAATATCATACATTACATAGGTATGGTAGTAAGTAAGAATATGTTAATAGTTAAGGCAAATACGATAATTAATTTAAGTTTCTTTTTTTTTTAAAAACCTTTCTTTCTTTCTTTCTAGATATTGACGTTCATAAGAGCTTTGACTGACTGACTTTAATATCCGTTTGTCCTTAGCGGCGTTTTTAGTTTTTAAACCATGTCACTAATGGTCCCCACTCACGGTCAGTTAAACTGACATCAGTTCAACTGATGACTTCAAACGGATTTAATCCAAAATAATTTCGACACACACGATCAGTTCAACTGATCATTTCAACTGATCAGTTCAAACTAGGGCTGTTTATATTTTTAAAATATCGGATTTCCAATATATCGAAAAAAATATCGACATATCGACTTTATTTAAAAAAAAACCAATCGTAAGTCATTTACTTTAGTTCGTTTATTATATTTATTAAGCAAATTAAATTATAACTGTATTAAAATGTTAGATTATAGTTCTTAGTTAAAGTTACAGCCTACATAAGACCCATTGCTGGGCACAGGCCTCCCCTCATTTCTAAGAGGCTTTTAGGGCAAGGAAGTGTCCACCGCGCTGCCCCGATGCGTGTTGGCGACCTTCACATGTCTTCGAAATATTTTTTTCTTATTTCTCAGCTATGCAGGTTTCCTCACGATGTTTTTCTTCACCCCTGAGTACGCGGTAAATCAGCACTTAAAATTGCAATTCATTGGTTCCGTCGAGGATCGAACTCGGGTTGCTCACGTACTGTCAAATTTACAGCGGGCGCCATCTGAGTTACACGGCTCAAAGTTCTTAGTAACTAGTTCTTAGCAATTATTGTTTAATTTAAATAAGATAATTATGTTTACCAATATTTTTCAGTAAGAGTTTTCAAAAATAATCGTTGTTTTATATGTTCAGCTGTTTCAATACTGCGATTATTAGGCACTAAAAGATTGATTATAGAAATAATTCATTCAGATGCTACGGATGCAGCTGAAGAAATAAAATATTTAACAGCTATTTCTGATAGCACGGAAGTAAATCATAAGACGCCTAAGCGATTAAAATAACTTGAGGCTTATATCAACATCGAAGCACTTATTTCGTCGTTTTCTCTAATAGCTTACATACGCAGACACTTAATACACATAATCGCATCACTTTGATAAAAATCCACTTCAAACGATTATTTAAACGATAATACAGGAGCAACTATCCGTCGATGATCAAGCTCCTGCCAAAACTCACAGTAAGTAAAGTAGTACTAAGTTTAATAGATTATAGTGATTTTAATATCACAGAGATATACTATACAAGATTACATTTCTTTTTAAGATAATAAGCAAATAAAAAACTGGGGAAAAATGAAAAACATAATATAGTGTAAATAAAGTATAGTAGATTGGGTCCATCAAGGATTAGGATTTAAGTTTACGATGGTGTTGTAGATTAAATTATTTACGTGAAAAAATAAAATATTAAATTATTTTAAAAAATATATCGACTGTCTTATATGTATATTTCAATATCAAACTTATATTACAATATATGTCGTCCAAAAATATTAGAAATAAATATCGATTTTTCTAAATAATAAAATAGATTTTTCGATATATCGATATTTTGTCAACAGCCCTAGTTCAAACGTGGGGCGTGGCCGTGGGCGTTTGGTTTGCGTGACTCCTATAAAATATCATATATATAGATAAATTAAATGATATTTAATAATATCTAAATCTTATTTTAAATCATTTCCTGTATATTAATATATATCTATACAAATAAATAGAATTGAAGTGTCTGTTTGTATTGTCAAAATAACAGTTTTTACTAAATACATATGAAAGTACATACGGTACTTATAACAAAAACACAATTTTTAAAATTTTTGTCTGTCTTTCTGTCTGTCTGTCTATATATTCCGGCTAATCTCCGAATCGGCTGAACCAATTTTGACGAGACGTTCAGTGGCAGATAGCTGATATTATAAGGAGGAACTTAGGCTACTTTTAATTTAGAAAAAGAATTAGGGTTTCGCGCAAAAACATTAAAACCCATGAAATCCAATCGTAATAAATTTCACGCGGGCGAAGTTGCGGGAAACAGCTAGTTAATAGATAGGAAATGATATTTTTAATTTATAGGAGTCACGCCAACTAAACGCGCACGGCAGCGGCCCC